AAGTGGGGAATCCAGTTCGACGGGCAGGACGACCCACTGTCGTTCGTCGAACTACTGGAAGAGCGTGCCCTCTCGTACGGGGTAGACAAGAACTACGTGCCGCGAACCATGGCAGAGCTCCTCACCGACCGAGCCAACCGTTGGTTCCGCACCAGCCGACTCCAGAGCACCTCATGGGCCGATTTCCGCCAACCGCCAACGATTTCAGACAACCAACTAAGAAACCCGCTACAAGTACACGACGGCCGGATAATGGCGAGAGTGACCATCGGAGGACGGCGCGCGGAAGCCACGGTCGACACCGGGGCGTCCCGAAGCTTCATCAACGCCGACCTCGCCCGCAAACTCGGCCGAGATAACTCAGATCTTGCTAGCGCGCGTCAAACTAGACGAACAAGGGGTACAGATGCCACTCCTGGTACTACCCAATATGGTAGAGCAAGCCATCATAGGGATAGAATTCCTGTGCGCCATTGAAACCACAATACAATGTGGCGCCACACGCCTCCATCTCCAAGGCCCCCAACGCCCCATCCCAAACACGCCGATTATCACAGCCAGCCAAGTACACGCCCCTGGACCCACGAACTCCGGGACGGTTCGATTAGGTCCTCAGCTATCAGTTGGTCGACCTGTTCATCGATGATCCGCCGCATGGCTGGATTTTTTGGGTAGTACCGCTGTTTTATGGGTCGGTTGTCCCTCATGAGGATGGTGTGTTCCGTCAGATCCGTCGTCCCACGGAGGCCCGCGAGTGTTGGCAGTTCCTCGTCTAGAAATTTCCGTATTTTCGGCGAGATGTCGGGAGGCCATGGGTCGGAGATTCGTTTTGAATCCTCCTCGGGTGGGTCGTCGATTCCTGGTCGCAAGTGTGGTCGGGGTTCTCGGGGAGGATCGTTGTGTCGAATGCGCTTGGTGTACTCGTAACGACACGGTTATTAAACGTCCGACGATCACAACCTATCGACCGGGTGGACGAGATGAGAGTGGCGGGCGAGGTTCATGGTGGAACTCTCACATGTCCGCCAACTCCCACACTCTCCACTCGAAAGGCCCGATCGCCGATCGTCATTTACCGGTGCTCTCACCCCGGTTCCACTTTCACTCACCCCAATATTGAGTGAGATGAAAGTAGTCCGAGGGCAGCAGCACCGACAAGTAGGCAATGGAAAATTGCATTGGCTGTTTGCTTTAGTGGCTGTCTGTGTTGTCGCTGTCATTGGTCAATGCCCTGTGTCGTATGTTCTCTGTGCTGTGCGTAGTGGCTGCTCTGTTGTCGGGGGATGGGATGGGAAGGGGATATATGCCTGCTCCCGTATAACCGCCCGGATACTGTAAACTTCCGGATCTTACGATCCGGGCGAGAGACGCTCCGAAGAGACGACTGCATAGCATCTTGTGGGCGGTTGAAATGGCTTTATTGGGGCGTTTGGCAGAGTGGCGAAGGTTAGCAGTGTATATTTTGTTCCTACTCAGCCGCATTTGGTCTTTGGCGGCATTTTAAGTGGGTAGGGGGGGAGGAAATGGCTGGGCGTAATTGCCGAAGTTGGCGGCCAATAACACACGGGCATTGAGAAATACAATTTGAATTTTAATTGGGTTTTGTGTGTTATCGGTCATTATGGTCTGGTATTTGCGTGGTATTTTTTTTTTTTGGTGTTACCACATGTCAAGGGGAATATGGGAATGGCAGATAGGTGGGGAAGAAGAGGACGGAAAAAGGTAAAACCAAAGACTATACCATACCAAGATGTTGCATGAGCGACCAAAAAGCTGTTCTATGGCGAATTTAGCAAGCTGAGACGGCCAAAGGTCCCACTGTGCCGATCTAAAGACATCGGCGATCCGCGACCACCGCTTCGACGGTGCTGAGGCTCGAGAGTCCAGAATTACCGAACAGACGAAACCGATTGGCAGCGGGGTCGCGGTAGAGACGAAGTACAGGCGAAAAGGGAATTGAAACCCCGCGCGCTCCCTTGTGCTATTTGGGTTCTAATGTTAGGACCCGCCATAGAACAGCTTTTTGGTCGCTCATGCAACATCTTGGTATTGTATAGTCTTTGGTAAAACTAATCAGAAAACTACGAAAAATATACAATTAACTACAGAAAACTACATTAATTTACAAAAACTTATTCCTAATATGTCAGGCAAGTAACTAAATCTATGGACAAACTATCTACGGACATGCAGAAACAACAGGATTGACATCTACAACAAATACATTGATGCAGACAAGGTATAATAAACGATAATTGACAATTTATTTTATTTCTAACAGGAGGACAAACAACAACGGAGCACCGGCGCGCATATCAAACGCAATGCGAACATTACTGGCTGCTGGTCCGGCCACCAGGATGCGTTGTCGATTTAATTGTTGGCCGCATCCGAGTGGCTGCTGGTCCGGACTCCCAGGATGCGTTGTCAGGTTTATTGGCCTGGCATCCTCGGCCACGTTCATCGTCAATTTGTAATGGCGTTTTGAGTGGCTGCTGGTCCGGCCACCCAGATGAGGAGGTTTTTGTTTTGGCGTTTGATTTAATTTGTGTTTATTTGCAGGTACTTGTCAGCGTTTGGATGTTATTTGTGGCGACCCTTGTCTGGTTGGTGTTGGCGTGAAGACGTTTGCCGGTGAGTATTTGTGTGTTTATTGGCAGCCTCCATCATGATTCTCCTTCTTTTGCAGGATTTGGTGGCGTCCGGCGGCTCAACACCGGGCCATCCCGCCCTCACATAATGGCATGAGAGACGGGTGCGACCCGGTGGAGCGGCAACAGGGGCCAGCATCTGCGTCGTCGTTGGAATGGCTGCTGTTGGTTCGAAGTGGCGTGACGTCACGGCCATGGTCAGGCGGCAGCGTCATCAGATGAAGCCTCCTTTTCCGCCCCTTTGGCAGGAAATTGATGATGTTGATGGCAAGTCAGATGCTGGGGGGGCAGCTCTGTCTGATTGGCAGGTAAGTGTGATTTTCGTGTATTTTGTCAGTTTTCCGTGTTGGCGTGTATTGACTGTTTTTCTTTGTATATTAGTGGCTGGCCTCTGGACTTCTGTTGATATTGACGGTAGTGCTGCTGATGAGGCCTCCAAATTTTGCCCATTATGCCTCAATAGAGTTGCAGGAGTGGCGAGGCAGCTGCTGGAGGGGCAGCTCTGTCGGTTTAATAGCAGGTGGGTGTTTGTTGGTCATTTGCAGATTTTTTTTTTAATTGTGTTTAAATTTTGTCTATTTTCAGGTTTTATTGGCATTAAACTTCTGCTATTCGGCGCAATCAGTAGACGTCGTTTAATCCGTCGCTTTCGAAGTAGAAACTTACGTAGGTCATGGTAAGGCTCTTCATCGGTCCATTGGCTGTCGTCGTCCATGTCCATATCCGGCTCAGTGTCCGATATGGCTACTGCTGTTGCTGTATTGGCGGCGACTGGTGGTATTGGCAGAGGGCCAGGAACTGCTGCTGCTGTTGGTTGGAGTGGGGGCATGGCTGTTGTGCCCTTGCCATTTGCTGCAGTAAATTTGGTGAGTTGCTCTGCCATCTGGTCGATCCTCCATTCCAACTCTATTATCTGCTGTGCGTTTAATTGCAGATTTTGAGCGCAGCTGCCATCGCACTGAGCTGCTGGCCGCTGCTGCTTCCGGTGTTGACGTGGCGTCGGAACCTCATTCGCGATCGGTTGCATCGGCTGGAACCTCTGGTGTTGGCGCCCCCCGGTCGATGGCGGGGGATGATGGTCGCCATACCGATGCTGCTGCCGATGCTGCCGATCCGGGTGGTGTTGGCGTTGCTGCTGCGGATTATGGAGTGGCTGTGGATGTGGCTGCTGCTGGCGACGTTGGATTGGCTGCTGTCGCTGTTGGATTGGCTGTGGTTGCTGTTTGCGACGCTCCTCCTCCCTGGCGACCCTTTGGGCCAGGAGCCGCTGCCTGGCTGCCTTGTAGGCGCTGCAGCCCTTGTAGGCGCTGATGTGGGCGCCCTGGCAGTTGGCGCATTTGGGATTGGCAGCCCTTGGCTTGCTGCAGTCTGTCGTCAGGTGCCCACCCGCGCATTTCATGCGAACTGCAGCGCGTCTACAATATGCGCGGGTGTGGCCAAACACCTGGACCCGATGGCACTGGGCAGGGTCACGGGAGACTCCAAGTCTCTCAACCGTGACGGGCTTCCCACCCGCAGCTTCAACACATCGAATTGGCCACGGTCCGGTTTGGGGGCAATCTCAGCCCCGAAGAGGTTGAATTGGCGGTTGCTATCGAATCGATCGGTGATCGCCCTTACAAACCGAACCGTGAACCCCTCGTTCAGCATACTGCTGCGAATCCAATCCGGCAGCATGGAGTGGGAGAGTCCTCGGATGAGGATCCTCAAGCCACGTTCCTGGCTGGGCTGATGCCCGAATTCGCCGTGCCGGATGTCATCGTCGGTGGTAGTGGCAGGGGTGTTTGTAATGGTGATGGCGGTGGTGGTGTTGGTGTTGGTATTGGCAGGTGTATTTGTATTTGTGTTGGCGTCATTATTTGTATTGCTATTGTTCGTATTGTCTGTGTGAATGGCTGGTGATTGACTATGTATTGGCTGTTTTCGATGTTGGTGATGGCTGTGGGTCTGGCTATTGGCTTTTATAGTGGTGGCAGGGGTCGTCTGGAATGCTTCCTCTCACCCTCCTCATCGTCGCTCTCACTGACGATGAGGGCATGGCGTCGCTTTGGGGTTGCTGGTGTTGGTGGTATTTGTGGTTGTGGTTGTCGTGGTATTGGTGTTGGCTGGGCAATGGCACGGATCGACTCGCTGCTCGAGCTCAAACCAAGTTCGATACGCAACGGGCTCGATCCGGTCGTGGCGGCCCGTTGGCCGTTCTGTCGCTCCGCTCTTGCGCGTCGGCTTGCTGGCTCTCCTCTGTCTTCTCCCTCTTCCGTTTTGAGTGGCTTTGTGATGTGTTTTTACTATGCGAACAAAACTGACAGTCTCTCAAATGAGAGAGTTGTTTTTATTTTGTTTATACCGTTGAAATGGCATATTATACAATAAGTGTGGCGCCTACTGCTTATCTACATATGTGTAGTAGCAGACATGGCTGTAAAGTGGCTGGGTAACACAAGTTACGGTATTGGCTTGCATTGACAGTTAAGTCAATTAAGTCACTTAGTCAGTTAAGTCTCCTCGCGAGAGACCAGTCGCGACTTTTCAGTCTCTTGGTGGGCCTTGACCTCCTGCTGGTAGCGACCCTGGGCCGCCTTCAGCTCAAAGTCGAGACTTGCATGGCTCTTCTCCAGCTCACTGATCCTCTCCAGCAGCGCGCGGTTATCCTCTTTGGCCTTCTGCTCGTTCTCCAGATTACGCTGCGTCTCCACCAGCAGAGCCTCCGTCTTCTTGCGCAGCTCGATCTCCTGCTCCACCTTCTGCATGGCCACCTTGTAGTTGTTCTTTCGCTGCGCCAGATCCTTCTCGTACTCGGCCGCAATGCGCTGCAGTTCGACCTCACGCTTGCCGCTCAGCTCGATCTTGTGCCGCAGGCTGGTGTCCTGCTTCTCCAGAGCATCGGCTCGGCCGCGCTCCCTCTCGAGCAGTGCCTCGAGCCGCTTCAGCTCGTTGGAGTTGGAGGTACGATGGCGATGGTTGTGCCCATTGCCGTGGGCATGGTTGTTGCTGGCGTTGCTGTTCACCGAATTCGGCTCCTTGGCCTCGGCGTCGACGGTGTCGCTGGACAGGAGCTGGTAGTCGCCCGTGTAGGTGAAGCCGATGAAGGGCAGGTGATTCCCATCGAAGCCCTTCGGTACGGGGAACACCTCCTCGGGCTTTTCGTCCCTCTCGATGTCCTCAAAGTTGCGCGTATCGTCGTCCGAGGTTAGCTCCGGCACAACCGGCGGCACACTCTCCCTGATATTGTCAAAGGACCAGGTGTCGTTTCTGAAGAACGGATGCGCCTTGATATCATCGATGCCGTAGCGGCCCAGACGCTGCGTCCGATCTGTGAGGAATGCCCGGATCAGGGCCTTGGCCTGTTCGCTGATCTCCACCTCCTGGGGGAAGCTGAGCGAGTTCTTGTGGTCCATGATCTTGCCGTAGGTGCCCACCAGTGAGTCCGCGTAGAAGGGCGTCTCCCCGAAGAGCATCTCGTAGAGGAAGATCCCCACCGACCACCAGTCGCACTCGCGGCCATACTCATTGTCGACACCCTGCGACTGCAGCACCTCCGGACTGATGTAGTCCGGCGTGCCGACCGCATTGCTGGACACCACCTGGCCGTTGGCGCCCATGCGCATGCAGGTGCCGAAATCGGCGAGCTTCAGATGCCCGTAATTGTCGAGCAGCATGTTGTCCGGCTTCAAGTCACGGTGCACAAAGCCCATGTTGTGAATGGTGTCGAGGGCCAGCACCACCTCCATTGTGTAGAAAATGGCCCACTTTTCGGGTATATCGTAGTCCCCCATCAGCGAGACAATGTCACCGCCGGGCATAAAGTCCATCACCATGTACAGGTATTTGGAGTCCTGAAATGCAAAATGCAGTTGGACAATCCACTCGGAGTTGGCATGGGCCATAATGTGACGCTCCTCCCAGAAGAAGGCCGAGTCCGGGCGCTTCATCATCTCAAATTTGGACAGCCGCTTCATGGCGTACACCTGGCTGGAGGACTTGTGCCGCACCAGTTGCACCTCTCCAAAGGCCCCGGCGCCAATTAGCTTAATGAAGTCGAAGTCCTCGACATTCATGCGCAGCTGATTGATCCTCTGCGCCAGGGGTTTATATTTGGCAGCATACTGTTCGATGTTTTTCAGCCGCTTGAGCGTGTCGTGGTCGCAGTCGCTGACCAGGGCTGATACCGTATCCAGCAGGCAGTCCACATTGCAAATGCTGGTCGGATCGCGCATCTCGCGCTCGAGCGTGTTCGCTCGACGCCGCCTTTCCACATCCATGGCTATAACGTCCCAGTTGGATAGTTGCCGTCGTTGTTGTGTTTTGTTTGCTTAATTCAGCTATGACAGTTTTTTCTCGGATTTTTTGAGTTGTTTGAATTACCTTGTAATTCGAAAGTGGTTCATATTGTATGTTATTTATATGTACTAATTGGTTGGTACTGGTTGTATTCAGCAATCGGACAAATGTATTATTTTTTGAAGTTATTGTATTTGCTACATAAATACCAGGTTGAATTTCCTGGTTTGGGATCAATATGGTTTCTATATCGGACGTTAATTCTATTTTTCTGACAACTTGTGATCTTGCTGGTAGAAGAATTGTATTGTTACCAGAACTGTATGTTATTGGAACATAAATTTTAATTTTTATATTATTTGGTCGTATTATTAACCAATCCTCTGCAGGTTTTAAGTCTATTAGGCAGTTTAATTCTTTTATAAAATCAATGCCTATTATTCCATCACACGGAATTGCAAAATTTTGATTAACTAAATGGAAATTGTGTGGAATTATGTACTTATCCGTCTGTAGCTCTATTAGGGTAAGGCCTTGGGATGTTATTATACCTTCCCCTATTCCTTGAATATCTATTTTATTTTTTGTTTGAATGTCGTTAAAGACATCTGAATTTTCTTTTAATAATGATATATTGGCACCTGTATCTATAAGGAATGTAAGTTGTTTTCCTGTTTTAGAATTGAGGAATGCCACGAATATATTGAGATTGAGGTTGATTGTGTGAACCGCTGGATTTTTTAATTTAGTGTATCTAAAGGATCTTGGGAGTTTCCCGAAGCTGTCTGGGTAACACGAACATTGTTCTGTCGTGTGTTTCCATTGCTATTGTATCTTTGGTTGTTATAGGTTCCACCGTTATTACGGTTATTTCCCCTATAGCCAACACGACCTCTATTGTTATTATAACTATTGTTGTTGTAAATATGGTTGTGGTTGTAACCACGACCATTTCCTCCACCACGATAGTTACCTCGAAAGTTACTACCGCGGTAGACTTGTCCTTGTCTGGTGTACAATATTGAACTTGCGCTACCAGTCATCTCTGTACTACACTGTATATATTTTGCTACGGCATCATTCATTGTTGGGAATGTGCCTGCTTCTAGTATTGTTTTGAGTCTGCCGTGCTCGAAATTTTTAACCATTGTACTAATGGCCTCTTTGCAGCTGAACTTATCGGCGTGTTCCGCTGGCAAACCCTCATCAATGTATGATGCTTCTAGAAGTTTTCTCATATCATCAATCTCTGTTGTGAATTGGGCGGCTGTTTTGCCTTTTTGGCATACTTTTGCCATTTTAGCCTTTATAACATCTGATGACTCTCCGACAATAGTGTCTTGCAATTTCTTTATTATTGCGCTAATGGTGGTTTCATCTTGTATTTTATACAATGTAGTTCCTATTACTTTTGATTTAATTACTTCTATAGCTAAATTTTCGTATGGTCCTTTCGTTAGATCGACCAATTTGACTGCCGTAATGAATCTTTGTAAATGGAGTTTCTGTCCATTAAATTCCGGAATGGCGTGCGAAATATCTTTGATATATGCCCGTTGGGCAATTGTTTCGTCTGCCATTGTGGTTGGTTCTTGCCCAACCACGCTGTTTTCTGAACTAGTCGACGGTTTGTCGTCGTTCACCGGATGGTTCGATCTATTTGATCGAGAATCGTCTTCCGATATAATGATAATATTTTTTACATTCGGGGGCCTGGGACTTATTGGCCTTGATTCCGATTCTACAGCTGATATACCAGCTGTCGCAGCTGTGTTTAGAAGATTTGGGATGTGTATGTCTAGATTGAATTTTTCTTTAACGAATACTAATCGTTCCCTTAGACTAGATTGTAGATTGAAACCAATGTATATCAGTAAGTCTTTGTCTGTTTTCTAGAAAAAGTTCTCTGACCTCATTATATATGTTTACCAAATTAGTTGTATGTTTAATGACCGTACTATTTTGTGTAGGTCTGTTCTGCGTTAAGCATTTGTATGACTTATCGAATTCTGCTCTTAGAGTGCAAACTTTAGCGCAGATCGTAAGCCAGTCCATATGTGTTTTTTAATGTTGTCCATTCCGATTGGGAGACAATCTAACATTAGCAATCACAATTCTTCCTAAAATTTCATTTTCTATTATTTGGCTGTTTACGAGGATGCCGGGTATGGTAGATAATACGATACCCTTTTGTGTGGCATCACAATGAATTAGTGGTGAAAAAGGTAAATTTTATTGGTTCATATATGAGTATTCGAACTCGTATATGCCAATTGGATTGGGGAATGCGGCTAAGATTGCTTTAGCTCTATATTCGAAATTTTCATTCCTATCGTGGGTAGCCCTAATGGCTGCTGCTGTTCTACGAGACATTTTATTTTGTCTTTGTAACAATGTATTAAAGGCGGGAATTCTACCTGAAGTGTACCCATGTACATGTATTCGAGCTCTATTATGCTCCTAGGGGTCGTTGAGACCAATTTTTTTTTTTTTTTTTTTTAAACTCTATCTAAATTGTTTGCCCTACTCATATATCTCTTTTTAATTATCTTATTATGTTTTACATACAATGTTAAAAGGAATTGTAAAACAGTGACAATGGTTAAAATCAGAAGTAATAACCAGAGTGCATTGAGATCATCCCTGTGGTCTATTATTTTGACATTATTGACCACATTGGCCGTATTGTCTTTGGTCTGACTATCGTCAGAACCGAACCAACCCATGGTGATGATTTTCTCTCAAAAATTGGTTTCTACAATGTTGGAGTTTTTTATTTTTATTTTTATTTTTTTTTTTATTATATGCTATTCATTTATTCTTTTCAATAAAAAAAATTTTTTTTTTCTCGTGGACACACATATCTATATACCCTTCCTTTTTTTTTTCAATCCTTAGATTGATCCATCGCGTAGGACATATATGGTCCTGTCACGGTCGCCATGTAAATCGATGTTCAATCCGTTTTTCTGGATCGTTGGGGCTCAACCCTCCGATCTCTTTTATTGTCGTTTATGTTCTCAATTTTACAATTGTGTTTTGGGTTTTTGTAAGCCAAAAGCCGCGGAGCTGCGCTGCCAGTGACGCCGGCAGCGGAGCGGCAGAACTATGTGTTCTTATCTCTTATATGTTAGTATGTATATGTGTGAATATGCTAAGCGCTGTTGGCAGCGAGAGCGCGAGGGAAGATATATGTGTGTATGCAAATTAAACAACTGCGGCAGCGGATTGTGTTTTTAAAAAGGTTTTTATTCTACTTCGAACTTAACTTCACTGATATAGATATAAGTAGAGGGTCACAAAGGAGTTCCGGGCAAGGGATTGCGCGATATTAATATTTAGCTAGACTTTGCGGTGTCGCTGCTCGATCAAGACTGATTTGAACTTTCTGATCTTTGCATCGTTGATCCCTTTCGGGAATCGTTTTTCTATAAACATTTCAATTGATTTCGCCATCCCGAGTATTGGATTTCGTCATCCAAAGAGAGAACTATAAAAGGCCTAAAGTGCAGGATCTGCAGAAAGCCGGGAGTGAGATTGTTTATGAGAAGCCGGGTGTGGGCAAACATTGGTTTTCCATTTAGGCGAGTGTCAAAGATTGGGATTGCGGCGGGGGCGCTTGAGATTGTATATCTTAGAAATCAATTAGGCGGAGGCCCAAGATTGAAATTGTTTTCGTTTTGGAAAGCCAAAGATTGTTTACAACTCGTATAAGAGCTCAATGGAATTGGGTACGTTAACTCCCCCCATTCTTAAATGTTTCGTCCCGATACATTTTGAAGTTCTGATAGAGCTCTAATTTCTTCTGACAGTATTTGAATGTTGCTTTCCACTATTTCTTCTGACGGTATTCTTATTGATTTAATAAGTACAAATTTGGTTACTTTATAGCCGAAGTAAAATAACATTAACAATATCAAAATGATTAAAAATAATGTTGTTAATGGTAAGGCCGTATTACCTAATGTTATAAGGGGATTTAAAATATTAACATTATCAAAAGAAAATTGCTTATCATTCGATTGTATATAATCAACTAATTCAAAATCGCTATATCTATGATGCGATATATATTTTAGAATTTTACCCTTATCATTTATGTGGGTTATATTATTTATTACAATTGTGTTGTTGAATATAAGGAGATACGATCCTAACAAAGTAGTATTGTCTACGATATTTTTGCCTGAAACTAATATGGCACCATCCTGAATGATGTCTATTTCTTTGTTTTTTTCCCTTTTTTTAGTGCAGTTGGCTTTAAAGCCATTAAGTAAATTGGTGAAACAGGTACTCTTTAAATTTATTTGTGCGTAATTGTTAAAAGTTTCACTTTTAAAATTATTCATTAAATAGTATTTCTCCTTACATTCACAAACTTTTTCACTTATAACTAACATTCCATCATTTTGTGAGATGGCTCTTGCATGGTAAAACTTGCAAATATCTTTAATTTGAGGATATTTTATGTAAATGATTATTAAATCTGCATTTCGAATTATTTTAACCGTTGCAATGTCCAACAGATCAGACAGTTCAACATTATGTTTTTCATGCTTATAAATGTCCTCTATTTCGTTTTTATTTAAAATTTTTGTATTGAAAATGTTTACTTTTAAGAGGGTTATGGTATCAACTAAATTTAGTAGGTCAAAAGTTATTAATTTTAAACGATGCTTTCTCAGTATCGTTTCTTCATTGAAGATGACATTCTTTAATGAATTTGATAGCAATTCAATTTCTTTGAAAAATTTGGAATTTATTACAAATTGTTTATTATTATTTTCAGTTAATTCATTTACTTTATTTTGTATTTTCAAAAAGTCGTCATGATCAGGGCTGCCTGCTATCCATTTCCAAATGGTACCTAATTCATTTATTCCCCTTTCTTTCCGTTTTGGAACTAATTCTGAAATCATTAATTTTAATAGACTTAAGTCCATTGATATTTCCCACTCATCGTCTGAATTAATTGATTTGT